GTATGACAATAAACTACATCTGCGGCCTGGGTAAGACGATAAACTATGTCCAACAGTAAGGTCTCTGATCAGGAGGTTTTGAGGAGCATGGAACCACCTCTTAATTGCTTGTGTTCCCAGGTCCACTCTAACTCGGGGTGGTAGCACCTGTTAGGGTCCCAGCTATGGGCAAATAGTTAACAGCCAAACTTGTGTAAAAATAGGTTTTAATACCAGAAATACTTTGTAATTAAAAAAAATTATTACAATAATTTTGAAGGAAAAATTATCAGCAATACTTTAAAAAAAATACCGGCAATGCAAACAGTTATACATTCTTTGAAAAAAATATCACCAGCTATAGATTTCTTCAAGGAAAAATGTTCCCAGAAAGAGATTTTTGAAGAAAAACGTATTACCAACAATAAAAATTTGTCGGCATTAAATAACCCATTGAGGTTGATATACTGTAAAACAAAACAAACTAAACCAAAAATCATACCATCATTTTACAGATACATTTTATTTATAGCTGCATTTTTATACATATATATATGTATATTTATGCATACTTTGATTCGTTCATGTTTTCATAAACAGTGTGCTTTGGTGTTCAATGGTTGCCTTGGTTGTACTTCAGATGGTTTTTCTTAAAAAGGTACAAATATTTTATAACCAGAATGTAAAATTCAGAAAAATGCCTTATCTCCATTTGGCAAATTTTCACTTGACTAATAAAAAACAAATTTAAATGATGACATTGTACAACATTCAAACAATATCTGCAACTTAAAATTTCAAAATAATAAAAAACAAAAAAAAATCTGCACATTTTTTCACACAAACCCATATATACAAACATATACAAATGCACACACATACACACACTCATACACACACACACACACACACACATATATACAGACCTATACATACACACACAAAGAGATACATGCATACAAACATATACAAATGCACAAACACAGACAGACACACACACATACATATATATATATATATATATATATATATATATATATATATATACAGGCCTATACATACACACACAAACAAAGAGATACATACATACAAACATATACAAATGCACACACATACACACACTCACACACACACACACAAACCATATATACAGACCTATACATACACACACAAAGAGATACATGCATACAAACATATACAAACGCACACACACACACACACAAACACACACACGCACACACACACATACATATATATATATATATATATACAGGCCTATACATACACACACAAAGAGATACATACATACAAACATATACAAACGCATACACATACACACACACTCATACACATATACAGGTCTATACATATACACACAAAGAGATACATACATACAAACATATACAAATGCACACACATACGCAAACACACACTCACACACACGCACATATATATATATATATACAGGCCTATACATACACACAAAAAGAGGGATATGCACACATATCTTAAGAGATGAATAAAAAAGTTAAATTTCATGATAAGTTCGTTTTAATTTGATTAGACAATACTTCCCATTTTTTTTTAACTTCTGTCTAAATTAGATATTTTGATATTTTTCGTGTCCTAAGATAATATATTTGGTTTTCTTGAAAAAAGAAAAGGAAATGAAAATACAAAATTTTCAATTTTTATTTCTCCCATTACTGAAGTTCATCAACATCACCAGGAAATTTTCACCATATCTGTTCACTTGTTTGAAATCGATAATTTTTTTTAAATTTTTACGTTTAAAGTACTGAAGAGCAAAGTGAAAAATTGGTCTACTGGTTTTGCTGTTGTCATTTTGCACATTGAAAAATAAAACACGAGATTTTTGAAAACTTCTCAAGAATTTATGTTTCGTTTCAGACTTAAATTATAGATAGTTATACTAAATTACATAATTTTTTTAAATGTCATGTCCCTTCAAAACATAGGCGGTTATGTCCCTCCACAGATTCCGTTTATTTATATATATCTATTTGTGTTTTGTTTCAAATTTGCTATGCTTATTGAGAAAAAGTGATCAAATGTTGGAAGGAACAAATATCTAGGCAATTTCACATACAGTATCTGAGAAAAAAAACTTTTGTTTGCACACAAGGAAAATTATTTACATTGTTGTCCTCATCTTTGTTGCCATATTCATGACATTTAGGCCATTGTATGCTCCAGCCTTCTTCAGATGATTGGAATTTAGAACTGAACCCTTTATTTTGTCCACCAGGGTAGATTGTTCTACTTCCACGTGCCGTGCCTCTTTTGAAGATTATAGTTATCAGGGAAGCAAGTAAGTGGAAGGAAGTTCCACTGTTGGGAAGTGTGAGAGAAGAAGCTGTTGGAGTAGAATAGGTGGTTACATTTGATTGTTTAAACTGTGAAAGGGTGGAACTGAGATGCTTAAATTCATGCAGTTGAGGCACCAGTGAAAAATAGTTTTGCAGCTGCAATGAAAATATTTGTAGAAAAGACAGAGGGATGCCACATCATGAGAGAAAGTGACTGGAGTCAAAATACCAGGTCAGGACCTATCTCATTGCATAAGCGTCATTGGATTATCTTGAGAACCTCAAGATGAATAGCAGAGGCACCAGACCATATATGGGAGCACGATATAAAATATATATATCAGAATATATAGGGTTGCATATTCTGTTCCAAGAAGGACCATTTTTCAGAAAAATAATATCTATCTTCAGAAGCATGACATTTGGATCACTAACACAAGAAAAGAAAATGTCTCATCTTGAGAATATTTAACATCCAAAAACATAAAGAAAAAAAATGAATTATTTTTAATAATATATGGAAATCTTCACCCTTTACCTGATGACAGTCGTGAGACCAGAAACGTGTGTAGCAATATTATGAAAAATAAAGCATAATATTTTTTTTTTAAAATCAACATTACAATCAAAAACATTTGTGGTTTCTCTCTTCTTTTTAATATACACACTTTTCTCTCATTGGAACTACTATAACGTCTTTCTTTTTTATATATATATATATATATATATATATATATATTATTATTTCTATTATTATTTATTCAAAAATTATAACAAAAATATGTTATAAAATCACTACAAAAATAGGCATTTTGTTTCAACATTTCTGGTGTCTTATCAAGTGATGGTGTTGAATGTAGCTAAATTCAACACCATCACTCAGAAGTGTTGAAACAAAAATTATTTTTGTAGTGATTTTATAACATATTTATGTTATAATTTTTGAATAAATAATTATATTTCTCTATTCTGTATTGAGCACTTTTTTAAGAATAGTATTTGTTGGTCATTGGAATTCATTCCATATACACCAATCCTATATTTGGATATATATATATATATATATATATATATATATATATATAGAGAGAGAGAGAGAGAGAGAGAGAGAGAATGGATAGGATAAAAATGTACATACATACACAAATATTTGCACATACGTAAGTATATTTACTCTAAGGTGTTATAAATACAGTGCTCAATGTTATGAAACAGAGCTATAAGTATATAGCAGTGAATCTACATAATGTGTGGATTCTGACCTTTGTGTTAATAGATAACAATCAGAATCCACACCTGGAGATTGCATTAACTGCATGAAACTCTGGGTAGTGTTATTTTCACTATATATATATATATATATATATATATATATATATATATATATATATATATATATATATATATATATATTAGTGATTGTTATATTGGTATATTGACAGCTGACAAGTACATATATATATATATATATATATATATATATATATATATATATATACAGCTGACAAGAATCCTCTTCAAGAAGCAGGAGCAAGATCTAAAAGGTCAGTCAATCTAATGGTGATCTCATCTCACAATCCTCCTCTTGCTCCATATGTGGCCTCCTTTGTAAATCACTAGCGGGTCTTAAATGCCACTTAAGATTATCACACAAAGTTTCATAACTGAATCATTTAAGCTGTCAGATCCTCATTCGTCAAAACTGATGGGAAAGTCCATTATATATATATATATATATATATATATATATATATATATATATATATATATATATATTGCATCAAGTTTACAGTATATTCCCAAAGAGCCCAACCATCTTTGTAACATGTTCATCTGGCTAGATGTAACTGTAAATTCTATGCTAAATCTCACTAATTCTTGCTTGTGTTACTCCCTTTTGGCTCCATGCTTTCCAGCCAACTTTAATCTGCAAAAATTTAAATGCAATATCAATGACTATTTAATCTCCTCCTGATTACTCTTCCTCTGTTCTCATTCCTAGTAATGTTCCTGTTTCTAACTCTCCCACACACAGTAATCCCTTGTGTTTCAAGGTTTTACTGCACTCAATATATATATATATATATATATATATATATATATATATATATTCTATTCATATATAAGTTATATTTATTATTTATTATTATTCATTTATTATTTATTTATTATTATTTATTCCTTATTTATTATTTATTAATTTATATTTATTTGTTCAATTTATATATTATTTACATTTATTTATATATATTTAATATATATACATATATATTCAAAAGCTTTACTGAACTCAATATATATACATATATATATATATATATATATATATATATATGTGTGTGTGTGTGTATAAATATATATGTGTGTGTGTAAATCTAAGTTTTGACAGATGACTTGAAGATTTTGTTCAAGAATGAAACAGACTGTCACCACTCAGAATTATGATCAGTGTCTACACTTCTTATATTTACACATACTCTATCCCAGCTATTGAGAACTTCTCCCCTATAAATATAATACAGCTTAGAACTCTATTTTTTTAAGAAGTCTTTCTTGTCAGCAGATTAGTGTCCATATTTTGTCACTGAAGTTGTAAAGTTAGTTGATGTTAGTACTTGTTAAAGTTTCAGGCTTTTTAGTGGCCTTCGGTCATTATCAAGAAAGTATGGAATTGAAAGAAATTTTAAGTCCATGTTGTTGTTTTACTCTCTCTCTCTCACTCTCTCTCTCTCTCTCTCTCTCTCTCTCTCTCTCTCATACACACACACTATTATTATTATTAATGAACAACAGCAACTAAGATTTTGTTTTTCATCTTTTTTATAAGAAAACCAAATATATTATCTTAGAACACCACATGTATGAAAATATCTAATTTAGACAGAGGTTGAAAAACAAAGAAAGAATTGTATAATCAAATTAAAACAAACAAATTATAAAGATGAACTTTTTCATCCATCTCTTCAGATATGTGTGTGCATATGTTAGTATATATGTGTTGTGTATCTATGTCTGTGTGTGTATATGTTTGTATGTCTACATGTTTGTGTAAAAGAAGTTGCTGCTTTTTATTGTTTTTCTTTTAATTTTTTTTACTTATTTTGCAATTTTAAGTTGCAGATATTGTTTGCAGAGAAACATCATTGCAAGTTGCACATTGTCATCATTTATGTTTGTTTTTTGTTTTTTTCTTTCTATCAGTCAAGAGTAAATTTAGAAAATGGCGAAAAAACATTCTTCTGAATTGTACTTTCTGGTTATAAAGAATTCCTTCCATTTCAAGAAAAAAAAATAGTGAAATAAAACTAGTGAAAGCTCTGAACAACAAAACAATGCTTTAGAAAACGTAAACTAACCAAAGTACACACACACACGCACACACACTGATCTCTCTAGCTCTGGTTAGAAACCAGTCTAGAGAAGGACACACTCTGAAGAGGTGAAGGACACATTGAGAAAGGGCACACTGTGAAAAAGGAGAAGGACACACATGGAAGAAATGAGGGCTATACTGTGAAAAGGTGAAGGATACTGTGAGAAGGAAGAGGACATACTCTGAATAGGTCAAGGTCACATCTTGAAAAGGAGAAGGACACACAGATGATGTGAAGGACATACTATGAAAATGAGAATGATATATTTTGAAGGATCTACTGTGAGAAGAGGGACACATTCTGAAGTTGGGAAGGATATGCAGTGACATTTCAAAAACGTGTGTGCATTAATGTGCATGTTTGTGTGTGTATTAGTGCTTGTGTTTGTGTGCATGTATTAGTATGTGTGTTTGTGTATTAGTGTGCAGGCTTGTGTGCGTGTGTATTAGTGTGAGTGTTTGTGTGTGTATTAGTGTGAGAAATTGTGTGTGTATTAGTGTGAGAGTCTGTGTGTGTGTATTAGTGTGAGAGTCTGTGTGTGTGTATGAGTGTTTGTGTGTGTGTGTATTAGTGTTTGTGTGTATTAGTGTTTGTGTGTATTAGTGTGCTTGTTTGTGTGTGTGTATTGGTGTGTGTCTTTGTGTGTATGTATTAGTATGTTTGTGTGTGTGTATTAGTGTATGTGTGTGTGTGCATATATGTATAAATACATATAATCGCAAAAATCTATTATGCTGAAAAAACATATTAATGCATTTTATAATTAGATTTTTGCAAAAAAAAGTACTGAATATTTAGTTTCCTTCAGTTTTTAATTTTAATAATTATATTAGTCAGTTAAAATAAACAGGATAAAAATGAAAAATTTATTTTAGAGTTGTGAATACTCATTTTTTAATTAAAGGGAGATTAGTAGTTCTTATTTAAAAACAAAAAAAAAAAAACACTTTATATTAAAAATAAACCATAATTTACTTTAAAAATAAACTATTATTCACATTAAAAATTAATCTGGATCAATGTATTTAAGCAGATATTAATTTTTTGCCTGCATATAACCATTTCTCTTGTTTAATAAGCTCAGGTTATTTAAGTGTTTTCAGCAAGACATAAGTTACATCTATTTCCTTATTCGTTATAATATTTAGCTCTTGCTATAATATTCCAGTTAATAAAAGAAGAGGAACTACCAGTATTCTTTAATTGCCAGAAATATTTAGAGAGGTGGTGCTGTTTCTGTATTTTATATTTTCTAAAGACATTTGATGGTAGAAATTAAATTTCCAAGGTATTTCAGTGGAACCAAAATAAAATGTCTGCTCGGTATACAATATTATCGGTCACACATTGACTGTTTAAGGGACAGATCATATATTTTCAGCAGTTGTATTTATTTTTAGAAATATTTATGTTCTCTTTCTTGGAAATATATTTGTCTAATATAATGTTGTTATGTTGGGATATGGATTTTTCTATGCTATTAACACAGCTATAGCTGATCTTAAATTTAGGAAAATTCTTCCAATATTAGTTTGAACATTATGGTTAAAAGGTGGATTAAACCATATGATGTTATGCTTACAATGCTTATTTTTACCTTTGCTTTTTTTCTAAATACTCTAAATATACTTTATAATTGCTTAGTTCTAAAACCTTTATCTATTTAATTTTATTATTATCAAATATTTCCTTATTGCCAGAGTTGGTGGATAATCTAAATAGGACTAATTTATGTAACTTATGTAGAATTTTGTATTGGTGATTTGATTCTTTACTGTCATATCTAGGGTTATATAAATCTTTGGTATATGGTTTGTAATAACCATTAATCAAGTCTAAGGTTACATCAAGAAAGTTGATCACTTTAGCATTAGTGGTGGTGGTAATATTTAGTTTGTGATCTTTAAAAACATTTATCAGTTCCTTTCTCAGAGTCTAGTGCCCTTAATGTTGAAAATAAATCTCAGCTGCCACAGTAATAGAATTCCAACAAGTTTGCATGTCTCCGTTGAGTCATATGCTTCCATAGCAATATTAAAATCTGGGTTACTTCTTTTGGTCCACAGATAACCATTATGGAATAGTATAGGTATTTGTGCCTGCTTTATGATATTTATACCGTGATCACTAATAGGACAGTAATTTATTGCTAGATTTATAGTTAACATTAGTAGATTCTTAGTGATGTATGGGTAAAAGTCACAAATATAAAAATTGAATGAATGTACATTCTTTCTTCCATTTTATATTAGTAAACCATTCTATGGCTTCTACTGTTTTGTGTCACTGGTTAATTCCTAGGACATATTTTTGTGTATTTGCATGGTCTTTTCCGATGTTTTGCTGATTTTACTGATATTGTTTTTAGTGTTGTTTAAGATATTTGCCCCACCACACGTACATACGTACATGCGAGGAAATATTATTCAGTAAAAAATAAAAATATGACATGTATACATTCACGAGAAATTTTCGCTACACTTCCAATCTTTGAATTTCAACATACAAATGCGTATGTATAGACACAACACCACCCGTATACATACATATGTCATATCCGAAACTGCCCACATATGTTTATATATGTATGAGTCCCGACAGACAACCAAGTATGTATATGTGTCTGTGTACACCATTAGGCGTATGAATATACATCAATGTTTGCGTTAGTATGATGACACAACGATGATGTTTCCCCCACCACTTCCACAATAACACCAATACACGCAATCTACATAAACCCAAAATTTTAAAAAATTAATCAGTTTGTCTGATGATCGCTAAAGCGTGAAACCCAGGGTCACAAACTCACATCTATCCAACCAAATATGTTAGCACTATCTCTGATATTGAGCGCTTTCTAATAAGTACCGCATGGATATAATATATAAATAATTATACATACATATATTTATTTATATTTATATACATACTTTTATATATATATATATATATATATATATATATATATATATATATATATATATATACACCACTAATATTATCAATATATATATATATATATATATATATATCTGTGTATACATATATTTATTTTTTATATATATATATATATATATATATATACTATATGCATATATTATATATATATATATATATATATATATATATATATATATATATATATATATATATATATATATATATATATATATGGAGGTCCTCATTTTAGGAGAGAGCTCAATTCCTACAATGCATCATAATGTGATTTTCTGTGTAAGTTGGGATGTACCCATGTTTTTCCATGGAAAGCACTTGCATCACTTTCGGATCCTAATAGTAAAGTGATAATCTAGCACATAACAACATATTTTTATGACATGTTAACCTGAGTAGGACTAAAAATACACAGGTATGGTATAAATATAACACACATAAAGAAATGAAATGATTTTAATCTGCTTGTATATTTATTGCCAATGATGTCATTGGTTCTTGGTAGATGAGATGATGAAGCATAAGATCTTGTCTCTCTTGAAGTACTCAGGAGCAGCAACAGCAAATCTGGGAAAAAAAACAAATGTGAGTTTTTTTTCATTTTATCCGGAATTCACCAACTTATATTTTAACAAGAAAATGTGCTTATCTCTCACAGGGAAACTCAATATGTATACATATATGTACATGTTTGTGTACCTTGAAATGGTGTAATGGTTAGCAATCTTGTCTCGCTAAGACAATTACAAATGAGTAGTGAGTTCGATCCTCATTGGGTGCTTCTTACTTTCAGCTTTGTGCCACATCCAAGACACGATTGGAAAATCACTATATGTAGATGTTTTTAGGAAACATAAAACATGTTTTAAGCTACATAAAAACACAACAAACCAAGCTCAGTGATGAAGAACATGCATGTATATAGAATTGTAAGAATGAGACAAACGGCATAATTTGAAACAAGATTAATGGAGATTGCTTCATAACCATGAATTGTCATAGGTCAGGACTTTTGTATATAAATGAAGAAAGTTTGATGAATTCAGATGGAATAGGAAATATTTAAGAAAATCTGGAAAAAATTACCTTAATATACAGTGCTGTTCAATAAAAGTGACTCACCTTATCTTTTGAATTCAGCTCAACTTTCATTTCATCGGAGAAGAGAACATTCTTCCAGTCTTCTACTGTGAAATTTTTGCAATAGTGAGCCCATTCAAGTCTCTTGGCTTTGTTGACTTTGCTTATGAGTGGCTTAAACCTTCAGGTACAAGATTTGTAGCCTTGTTCTAACAGCCACCGACGGACTGTTGAAGAGGCAAGACTAACACCTTGCTATTCGCTTAGACTGGCTGCAATTTCTTGGCTAGTTATAGTCCTATTCTTCACAACTTCTCTCTTGATTACCCTGCCAGTTCTATCATCAATCTTTTTCTTTCATCCACTTGTTTCCTTCCTTGGAGCAGGAGTGGCATCATTATGTGCCCTAAGCACTCGAGAGACAGTTGCTTGTGCGGTTATAGCAATTTCTGCAATTTCTCTCGTAGACTTGCCTGCTTTTCAAAGGGCAATAATAAATGCCTTAAGTGGTTCTGAGTGGCTATTTCAAGCTGTTTTTATACTGTATGAGGCTTTCTGGAATATTCTGGAATACTCTAGATTTAATTTAACCTGTTCTAGAATTCTCTAGAATATTGTTCTGAGTGTATTGTAAAATAGTTTTCAATATTTTGTCAAAAGCTTTTTAAATTTACCAGTTTAATCATTAGAATGCGATATCTGAGTCACTTTTTTTTTCACAGAGTTTTTTCCTGAATCTCATTTATATCCAAATTTAATATTATCAATAGAATACCTTAGGGTGAATAAACTTTTTTTCCTAGGTGGTCGGGAAGGGGTCTTTATATTAGTAAAATTAAAAATTATTTTAACCCCCAAAACAATAGACAAAAAATATTTTTAGTAAAAAAATCAGGTGAGTCACTTTTATCGAACAGCACTGTATTTAAGAAAATCTGGAAAAAATTAACTCTATATATTTTGCTTATGATTCAGTCGCATTAGAAAAAGCATTTTATTTTACAGGAAGAATAATTTTTATTAGAAAGACACAATTTGATTTACTTTATTATTGCTTGGATTTTACATTTGGTTTATCATTATTGAAATTAGATTTTAGCTCTTTTTCATTCTGTTGTTTCAGTCCTAATTTAATAAGATAAATGAATGTACAAAAATTGTCCAGCCATATATTAATTGTAGCCAGCTCATAGATTGTGTCATTTTTCAATACATCTTTGTCTGTGTAAGTTTTATAAACTTTTTATTATTCTCCAGATCAAAATTAGGTGACATTTTTTTTTTGGTGCCACACAAGTGCATTGTTTAATTGCAAGTCCCTTTTCTTCTTTTCTTTCACTGATGTATTTTGCAGAGCATTCTTTACATTCTATTAAACTGCTTCAGGTATAAAATTAACTCAATTTTGTATTGATCAATGTTTTTAACTCTTTCTGATTTTTAAAAAATCATTTCAGCTGACACAAGGCAAGGGATTACTTAAAACGAAAGAATCTGAGAAAAATAAGAACAGATTTTAAGGAAACAGAAGATGATGCTTGACCTTACATTTAAGTTTTTAAAGATCAAATTTGACTGGAAAGTAAGAAGCTGGAAGAGAGTTCCTCAAGTGGGAAGTGTGAGAGTAGAAATTGCTAGCCTTACATCAAACAATTTCAACTGTAAAATTATGAGACCTTGCTGCGTTTAAATTCATAGTCTAAGTACCCAAGAGAAATGGTCATCAGAATAGTTACCAAGAAAATATTTACAAAAGATACAGAGAAAGCTACATTGCAGCAGTGGGAAAGTGACTGGAGCTGCGATGCAAGATTAGAACCAATAATATTGCAGATTATTATATGGATTTTTTATACTGAGATTGGTTAAATGAGGCTTCAGAAATTTTAAATCCATCTTATTAATTAGATCAAATTCAGAGTAATTATGTTTTATTTAAGAATCTGTTCTATATATATATATATATATATATATATATATATATATATATGAAGGGTGTTCCAATAACTGGACTGATTTTAAATGTAAATTAAGTTTAAGGATCTAATGATTTTTTTTCTTTTTCTTTCAGATTTAACAACTTAAGTCTTTTGCCATTTCCACCATGGAATTATAAACAATAAAATTGCAATCAAAAGAGCCAAGGCTGCAGCAAGGAAAAGAAAGTCCAGTGAAAATGAAAACCCAGATCAAATGGCAGCCAGGGGAGCTTTCAATGCTGAGAATATGCAAAGACTTAGGGACTCTCAAAATCTTGATCAACCCAAAGATCCAAACAAGAGCCCTCCACAAGAGCTAGCTTAAATGCCACCTGATAGGGCAGCTTTAAAGCTATATATATATATATATATATATATATATATATATATACTGTGCCTCAGGAGTAGGCAGGCAGTCAGTAGTTCACTACAGACTGTTGGTTAAACTCTCTTCCTCTGGTAGGGAGGAACCCGAAGGAGGCTACGCCCGGGCGGAGTCTCCTTGGGGGGTAGCTCAGCCCAGAACCCGTTTATCTGGGTTCAAATGGGCTATTTTTGGCCGAGCCTAATGGCTCGGGAATGCCCACGTTAAAAAGGCCTTGTGCCACATGACACCCTCGTGGGGGTGGTGACTGAATATCGTCAGTAGTTCACTACAGACTGTTCGGTTAAACTCTCTTCCTACGGGTGGGAGGAACCCAAAGGAGGCTACGCCCGGGCGGAGTCTCCTTGAGGAAAATAAAACCGACCCAGAACCCGTTTATACGGTTCAAATGGGCTTTTTTTTGGCGAGCCCTAATGGCAGGGAATGCCCACGTTAAAAAGGCCTTGTGCCACATGACACCCTCGTGGTGGGGTGACTGAATATCGTCAGTAGTTCAAGTCTTGAATGACAGATCGGTTGAACTCTCTGCCTTTGGGCGGGGAGGAGCCCAAAGCAGGCTACGCCGAAGGGTGGATTCTCTTTCGGAGAGGTAAACCGACCCTGAACCCGTTTATACGGGTTCAATGGGCATATTTTAAAAAAGCCTTGTGCCACATGATGCCCTCGTGGTCGGGGGGTGACTGAATATTGTCAGTAGTTCAAGTCGAGTCAAGAGTCAAGGCAGAGGCAGTCTGAAACAGAGTCGCATTTAGACAATTACTGCCAGACATTGGAATAGTGATACTGGTCGAGACTACATTGTTCTCTCTACTAAACCTGATTGTTCGTACTAACACTTTCTACTTCTCTGCATATGTTCCTGTTTGCAATATATCTGTGTTATTCCATACCTGTGTTCGAGTTCTTCTTTATTGGCTCTACCTTGGACTATCACCATGGTACAAGGAACTGGACCATAACAATATATATATATATATATATATATATATATATATGAGATGACGATGTATATTTTTATATATCAAGAATAGTATTGGGGAAATTTTATGATAAAGTGGAAAAAGTTTACTTGTGATATGTTTTGGTCATAAGTTCGATAAAGTCCTGAAGAACAAAATGTGTCACAAGTAAATTTTGTTCCACTTTGTCATATATGTATATATATATATATCTATATATATATATTAATTGGTTTCACCCAGACCATGACAGTAAAGCCACTAAGACACAAGAAGTTACTCTTGGTATGGAAGAGTTAGGAACAGAAACATTAATAATGAGCAGGAAAAGAAAAGAGCAATCAGCAGTGATTGTAGATAGCGATTTACATTTCATATATATATATATATATATATATATATATATATATATATATATATATATATATGTTATAAGTGGATTATCCTACTGGGACATGTCTTGTGTATATGTATAGGCCATCTATTACATGAAGAGGTTCATCTGTTTTTAGTACTTATAGTAATCACTTGAAAAACCACATTGCTAGATCTAACCCCAAACTTTGTACAAATTGAAAATGTTATCCTTGTGTCGGTATCTTAGTGCATTTCAACATCTGTTTAATTAAACTTGCTTTTGACCATTTAAAAAAAAACAAAGAAAAAAACATGAAACGTATATTTGAATAAAATGAAATAAACTGAAAGAAAGACGTTTTTAAACTTCCTTGCAGTGAGGGTTCAAATTAACCAAATTGGCATTTTATTCTTACTTTTTACTTTTGGGGATTTTTTTTCAGCTATTTTTATACTTTATTTTACATTTACATTATGTTTTCTTTTTATTTACAAAAATGGAACTTGATCCTAAAATATAAGAGTTGAGATCAGTTCAAGAAAGCAGAATTAATCTAGTCATGAAATAAATAAATAGATTTTTTTTTCTTTTTAAAACAAAATAAGTATAAATATAAGTGACTGTTTTCTTCAATTTATATCGAAGCTTTTTTTTTTCTTCCTTTCCATTCTTATCATATCTATGTTTCCATTTACCATTTCTTTTTTCCTCTCTTTCTCAGTTTTTCATTCTCATTTCTTTTCCTTTCTTTCTTTGTATCTCTTTTTTATTGTCTTTTCACTCTTTTCATTACTTGCTGTCTTCTCAGTCTTTCTTTTTTTTCATTTTTCATTTCCCTCCTTTTTCTCCCTTCTTTAAATGTCTATCTATATTCTCCTTCTCAGTTTTCTTTCTTCTTTTGCTTCCTTTCTTTCTTTCTTTTTTTCTTTTTTCTTTCTCTTTTTCTTATTTTGTCTATTTCTTTTCATCTCTTGTTTTCACCTTCCTGGCCTTTCTTCCTCTTTTTCTTTTTCCTCTTTTTCCTTTTTCATTTCCCTTCTTCTTCTTCTTCTTCTTCTTCTTCTTCTTCTTCTTCTTCTTCTTCTTCTTTTTTTTCTCTTTTTTCACTTCCTTTTTCTCTCTCATTCTATGTTTTAAAGGTTAGATGACTATTTGTTTTGATTCCTTTCAAAGCATGTTTCTTCTTTCTAAAAATGTCTATCTTTTCCTTTCTCATTCTCTTTTATTTACCCTCTCACTTTTTCTTCCTCCTTTTTCTTTGTTCCTTTCTTTTCATCTCCTTTTTTAATTTTGTCTCTCTCTTTTCACCCCTCCTCTCTCTCTCTCTCTCTCTCTCTCTCTCTCTTTGTATTCTCTTTCCCAGACTTTCCTTCACACTTTTCCTTATTTATTTTTTTGTCTTTCATTTCTCCTCTTACCTTTCTTTTCAGTCCTTCAGGGTTTTTTTTTCAGTTCTCCTTTCTTTCTCATTCTTTTTTTCAAATTTTAATCTGATTTTCTTTCATCTTCCTTTCTTGTCTCCTCTTTCTCTTTATTCCACCAGAAACCTTTTTAGATTTAATGAACCTAAGCACCAAAAATTTCAGAGCATGCTACAGACTAATTGAAATGAATTAGCTTATCAGCATTTCTTTACTGGAGTTCCTTGTAGCCAAAAATAAATAACAAAATTATCTATCTATCTATCTATCTATCTATCTATCTATCACTATATATATATATATATATATATATATATATATATATATATATATATATATATATATATGTGTGTGTGTGTGTGTATATATATATATATGAGTGCACGTGATGTATATATGAGGTTATTCCCATTATAGCAACCACCTGAAAAAAAAAAAGATTTTTTTGACTTTGCACTGCCATACCATTTTTAGAAGCCAAAATCTGATGGTCGATTATAAATGTATTCCTGTACAGATTTATAAAGTTAGCAAGTCATTACAAATCAAATTCCCTCTCACAGAAATATCATGGATTGATATGACAGTCATTGAAGTGAGAAGATGGTTATCTTTTAATTCTTCTCTTTCTATGTGCTATATCCCTTCAAGCTGTTGGCGTTTATTACTCTCCACAATTTCCTATCTTTTGTAGTGCTTATTAGTTTTTTGTCATTTTACTATCTCCCCTAAACCCTGTTTTGCCACCAGTTAACAAAAGCTTGTTAGATATGTCATACACTGTATTCCTCTGTTCCCTCTTGGCTTCAGTATGCCCTGTGAGTATCAAAATTTCCAAGCCCTCTTTCCTCATTATGTGACTAGAAATTTCAGCTATCTCTTTCTGATTCTAAGTGTAAGTGTCCTTTTTGCTTTTTGTTTCTATGGTAACCTTGAAAGGATTACTGTATGTGGAATAATCAAAACAGAGTTTGGAAATGAAATGGTAACCTTTATAACATCAATAAAATACAATACATGTCACTGGCATGAAGTAGATAACCCACTGTTAGTGGAGGACTACTTAGACAGCATATTACCCCCCACTTACAATAGTGTGCAACATATTTATGAGGATTGGGACATACACGTTAGTGTTCATAGGTATGGTATATAACAGTTTCCATTTTTTCTAAGACTTCATGATTGCTTTCATGTTCGGTCCATAGTATTCTCAGCATCCTTCTGTATAACCGCATTTCTGTTGCTTCAAGTCACTTTTTCACCTGTGAAGAGATTGACCAGCATTCACTGCCATTAGTCCAAACGGAAATCAGTACATTTCAACAAGCCATATATACATACTGGCATACATACATTCATACATATAGGGTACGAGGGATAAATTGTCATGTAAATTACACAAAAATTAAAATCTCATTTTAAGAGATATATTTACCCAAATTTACACAAACATATCTTGAAATACTAAATAGTAAATTTATTCAATAAAATCACCATTGGCTTCAACCATGGCCTCCAGACGACTTCAGAATCTCCTGCAACTCTTCTGGATGGTCTCCTTGCTTAAGTTAGTGAATGCTGCCATAACTCTCACTTTCAGTTCATATTTAGTGTCACAAGGAGTTTTGTTGGTCCCTCGTTCGACTGTGTCCCACATATAATAATCAAGGGAGTTGCAGTTTGGGGAGTTAGGTGGCCAGATATAAGGGGTGATGTGGTAGCAGAAATTGTCTGACAGTCATGACTGGGTTTTCCTGTTTTTGTAACATGATGCAGAGACCTGTTATCCAGCAGCCACCCTACTGACCCATAGCAGAACTGCCTCCTCAAGGTACGTGATGCAGGCCTCTGTCTTGAGTCTGAGACCCTCATCAACAAATTTGGGAGTTCTTTTTCTTATCAGAATGGAGTGAGTTTTTCAAGCTGCTGTACCTTTGTAATCACCAGTAGACTCATTCAACTGTTTCTGAATCCTCTGCACTGTCATCAGATTGATGCCTAAACACACTGAAATGTTTGTATTCGAGCTTTCAGCATGAATGCCAAGCATTAGAGCATGTCGATCCAAATTTCTGGTGAAATGAATTGTGTCATAGTGCTCTTTTTCTCACAGACAGTGCCCAACTGACAATACTGTACTGTGCAGTACACAAAATCAAAAACAAATGACAAGCATGGGTGAGAATAAAAATATAAAATGGCAACAATTTACCCATCACACCCTGTATATATATTTAGATACACTTACATGTATATATAAACACAAATGCATAGACGTACAAAGAGGGTGTGCTAAGTAAGTCTTTTAGTGTGTAATATCTCTAATTTTTTCTGTATATAATTATCTCCCTTGCAATAGTTTCATTTGATAATCTCTATGCTGTGACAATTTGTGAACAATTCTATGATGCGTACAAAGCTAGGAGGTGAAAAGATTCATTCCATGATAGATCAGAATATACACAGGATTGAATCATCCTCATTTTCTTTATATTCCATTAGTAAGGAAGAAGTTCCATTTGAACAGCTTCTTTCCCAAAACCATTGCTTTGTAGAGCAGATGCCCAAGAGGGTGCTTCCCTTTACCTCAACCTCTTACCTTAACCTCTTAAAGTCTAAGGTCAACTCTAATCTGCACTTCTTACTGTCTCTTGTTAAACATTTACCACAACTACCTTCAATAACCCTTTACATTAATAGGTGAACAATTGTAATCTAAAAAATGGTCATAAAACAGTTGAATATTTAGGCCAACCAGCATGCCCAACTCATTATACATGAACACACCTCATACTATTATGGAGATACCACTGGACTGCATGGTCATCCTGTGTATTATAATAAACTACATCTGGCAGCAAGGCCTCCCATTGAAGGTTTTTATGAGTGTGAAACCACCTTTTAACTCCTGTTATTTCTAGGTCTTCTCTGACCTGTGGTGGTAGTGCCTGTTAAGGGCCCAAGCTATGGGCAAAAACAAACAAAAATCAAAGTACATTTTTATAATAAAATGACCAACAATACATTTTTATAATATATATATATTATATAATAATATAGAATTTTGTATGATCTATAAACTATATATCTAAAAACATATCTTTACCCTGAAAATATAAAATTATGTACAAATATTTTGAACACTATTTACATTATTCGGACTATTATCTTCATCTTTGTCGCCATATTTATTACAACATTTTGGCCGTTGGTGGTTGGAAAGTCGAACTGAACTCTTTATTTCACTCACTGGAGTAGACTGTTCTTGTTCCACATGCCATGTCTAATGGATGTCAGTTATCTCCTGCTTAATTACCTCTCCAAGTTCTCCACTGGCTTAACCAGGTATTGAACTCACACTGTTTGGGTCCTGTCACTGGATCCACTGTACCATGTGTCCTTGGGGAAAGGACCCAAAGAGTGTGGGTTCAATACTTGGTTAAGGTGTTGGAGAACTTGGAGAGGGAATTAAGCAGGAAATAACTGATAACTGACATCCATTAGACATGGCACATGGAACTAGAACAGTCTACTCCAGTGAGTGAAATAAAGGGTTCAGTTCGACATTCCAACCACCTGAAGAAGGCTGGAGTATACAAGAACTGAAACATTGTGATAAATATGGCCACAAAGATGAGGACAATAGCCCAAATAATGTAAATAGTGTACATAATACCTCATCTCAGAAATATAGACAGATATCAAAATATTTTGATTTCGGCATTAAATAACCCAACCAACCTACCTGATATTTGCGTTTTGCTACACCTGAAACTTGAATTATGGTACCATGCTACATCTTGACAGTGTTCCAGGTCTCAGTGATGTCAACAGGTCTAAATAAGGTTCTCTGTTCTGTGTTGTGGTGGTAACACGAGCACCCTGATGGACTTTCTGCTCTTATATCCTGTTGATGTTACTGATTTGACCTGCTGATGGGCATCTGATACTTACAAAATTGAATGTAGATATGATTTGAACTGGTATTAATTATCTGTTATCATAGACAATTGAAGCCAAACACTTTAGGGCATGATCCTTAAGAACCCTTCCTTGGTCAGCAGGTATTCCCAGTACTGTAGTTCAGGGAATATCCAATGTCCCCACAAATTTCAGAAACGCAATATCCCCTCAAACTAGCACTGACTATCATGTACTATTCAAACTGATAATTCATGTCGCTTAGTTATGAGCAGCTTTGTTGGTGTTCCCACTGATATAGGACCAAATATATCTATGATGCCAATGTATGATGGTGACACTTACCATTATCTTTACTGACTTCCATCCTAGCACTTTTGTTACAGTAGAGTATATCTATCTATCTATCTACCTATATACACACACACACACACACACACACACACACACATATATGAATTCAAGCGCCCTACGAGGCTGGCATCCCGCTCTCACCCTTTCACTGTCAAAACTACTAAATGTAGCCATCTCTTCTACTGCAATAGCTCCATGTCTCGCACCTCTCGCCTGTGGAACTCCCTTCCCTATTCCAGTTTCCCTGAGAGCTATAATCTACAACTATTCAAATGTAATGTCAATTGACATCTCCAGTTGCCTTGATCTATCCACTATCCTTTTCCTCATCCTTTCCTCTATCACTCCTATCTGCTCTCGCACCAAATCTTCTGCAACCCCTGCATCCTAGTGGCTTCCTGCCTTGCTTGAGGTGAAACGATTAAAAATATATATATATATATATATATATATTCCTGAGATACATAATACCCAGAACTACTTAAGAGCATATTGTAGCTTGAATCCCTGCCAATTGCAGTTCTAAATATGAATAGAATTAATCAAGGGGTTCTTGAGCTAGGGCCATTTTTAATAGGAAATTCAGTATTTGTTCTCTAAATGCATTTTTATATCTTTCTGCATCTATAAACAAACACTTGCAGTTTATATTCCAAGTGTTTTGTGTGTGAAAATAATAAACTTGCCTAATACATTATAATGACATTATTAAATAGATTAATATATACATAACCCAATATATATTTATACAATATACAACAGGACATTAACACATTTTTATAAGCAATTCTCTTGGATGTTTGCCAAATACTTGATAGGGAAAGACATTATGTCTGTGTGTCATTGCAAAACAATTTGTATGGTTGGAAAATTGTGTCACTTGAAATAAATGTGAGAAAGAAACAAGC